AACCATTGAACCAGAACAAGTCAAATGATTACCATAACGAATAACAACTGAGTTATCAAACAAAACTGTATAACCATTTAAAACGAGTTTAGAAACTGAAATTAAATTCTGCCTAAAACTTGGAACAAAAAGACAATTGTTCAAAACCAAAATACTAGCATCAAATACTAAAGTAACTACTCCCACTGCAACTGCTGCTACTTTCGTAGTAGACTGTAATCTCTCCATCCCTAAGCCGCCTGGTTTCTTGGAACCCCTGCAAAGAATTGTAGACATGATCAGTGGCTCCAGTATCTACACACCAGGTACTGGTAGATACAACTGCTAAACATGTTTCTACGACAAAAGTATGAGAGTTACCTTCTTTGCCCTTCTTGAGGAGAGGACAATCGACCTTCCAGTGCCCTGACTTATTGCACTTGTGGCATCTACCTTTCGGCTTCTTTGCCACAGCCTGCTGAGGCACTAACTGGGTGCTCTGTGCCTTTGTCTTTCCTGCAGCCTTCTTCCTCTTCCTACCCTTGTGAGGCCTGGAAGGTCCGGCTTGCTCGACAACCATCACAACTGGTTTCTGAGTGAACAAGGCCTCAGCCGACTGGAGTTCTGACAACAGTTCTGGAAGAGCCATAGGCATCTTGTGCATGTTATAGTTCAACCGAAACTGATCAAAACTCTTAGGCAAAGATTGGAGCATGATATCAACCTGGGTTTCCACGTCAATAAAACCTCCAAGAACCTCTAACTCATTGAGCTGCGCCATGACCTTGAGAGCATGCTCCCTTACGGGTGTACCCTCTGTCATGCGCGTGTTCATCAGAGCACTTAAAGCCTCTTGTCTTGCAGCCCTCGACTGATGCCCAAACAGTTCCTTGAGGTTCAGAAGCATATCTGCAGCAGTGGCCATTGACTGATGCTGATGTTGAAGGACATTTGACATAGAAGCCAGAATGTAACAGTTCGCCATCTCATCAGCCTTCTTCCACCGAGAATACTCCTGTTTCTCCTCATCTGGGGCATTATCAGCCGGCACATCAGGACAAGCCTCAGTTAGCACATACTTATAGTTTTCAGCAGTCACCACTATGTTTAAGTTCTTTTTCCAATCAATGTAATTAGGACCAGTGAGTTGATTTTCTTTTAGGATAACAGACAACGGATTGAACGACATGAATAAACCTGAGAATCACGAAAAATATTTTACTGATTAAACATTTTGAATTTAACTGTTAATATTGACATCCTCAAAACAATACTAACTTAAATTCACCGACATCCTTGAACCTTGAGAATTTAGTATGATGCTCGGGCAACTCTACTAATTCTTCGTTTCTTTAAAGAAGGGTTTTTCCAGAACCCATTAATTTCCATTAGTCAAAACCAATTTCATGACGAACGAAATTAATAATCGGTCACCGTTTGGCCATGCAATAAAAATCAGGGACCCCTTGGGGGGTTATGAAATGAATCGCATTCTAAGTGAATCCCATTTCTCGGTCCTAAGGTCGTCAAAATCGATTATACGTTCACTCGGGGTGACCCGTACGCTCTCATTTGATTTCCTCTAACCGTCTAAATTTATAAATTCGTTCTGATAATTATCCTTCAATTAATTTCAAGTAATGTCATCCTCGGGGAAGCCCACACTATCAATTAATTGATTTACCAACGAATTAGAAATGGAGGCCTTTGGAATTTAAAATTATCTTAACTTTAAATATCCTTCTCAACTTAGTATTTAAAAGAGGATTTTAATATATTCATGCAATTGTAAATAACCCTATGCACACAAAGCAACAATTAATTCCATGCATAAATAAACAAATAAATAATTAATGTCATAAATAAATATTCACTATTATGGCCAATTAAATATTTATTCTCCTTGGATTAGGATTTCTTTCCTA